TTGATAAAACTTTTTTTTTTTTAAAGTTGTCCCCTATACCGTATGAGTCATTGAACCACAGAATCCGGACACGCAGGAATAAAGCCATCATCATCATTATCTCAAACAAAGGTAAAGACATGAATGTTTTAATAATTAGAGACTAATATTCATTTTTAAATGTAGACTACAAAGTTTTCCCCTTCATCGTAGTGATGGGAATGAAAAACCCGTTGCAGAATTGAACTGATGAAGACTGGATTTACTGAAGATATACAAACCCAAGACAATATTAGAAGGTCTCTGCATATAACAGAGCATAAAGGACAGGAAACACTGCATTTTTTACAATTGTAGATGTAGAGAGGGCCTTCAATTATGTAAATGGTACATTTTTGTATACAGGATTTTTAATGAAAAATTGAGGTTAATTCGATTTTTTTTCATTGTATTAGATCAATATATAAAAAGCCAGCTACACGGGTTAAATTAATGGTCATCTGTCAAGAAGACTTTGCAGAAATGAATAATAATGTATGTTTATTGCCTCTTTCAATGTCTTTTTGTATTGTTTATAGAACAAGTAGCCAAGATAGCTGGACAGGGAGAAGAAATTTAAAGGAGTGAAGCTAGATGAGAAAGAACATAAGACAGGGCTGTTGCCTGATGGTCTACTGATTTACATAAAACATCCAATTGAAAATACTTTTAAAAATAATGAAAGTACTTAAGAAAACACAGAAACCTCTCTGGATAAAAAATGTGTAAATTTCTGCAAAAATTAGATTTTTGAAAAATTAGAAAGTTAGAAACATGCATGCTGCATCCTCCATCTTGCGTCATATTGACTCAGTGTACCATGCATCATTACGATTCATTACAAACTCAAAGTCCCTTACTCATCACTGCATTCTTTATGATCTAGTTGGTTGGACATCACTAACAATTCGTAGAAAACAGCACTGGTATATCTTTATCTATAAAGCAATACTTGGTAAACTCCCACTATACCTCTGTAACCTCCTCTTTGTGAGTTCCGGTAGTTATCAGTTGCGCTCCTCTCAGTGGTTACTTTTTAATTTACCCCGAGCTTCAACTGAGTTGGGAAAAACTGCATTCTCCTACTCTGCACCTTTGGGATGGAATAACCTCCAGAAAGAGCTCAAATTAGAAACTCTTGTGTCCATTAATGAATTTAAAGCAACCATGAAGAATGTAGTGATGGAGATATGTCCTTGTTTTTCTTGAGATGCTCAATGTGTTTTAACATACTGCTCTGATTTAATTTTTTTATGTTTTTAATTTATTTATTTATTTATTTTTTAATTCTTTATTCTTTATTTTGCAAAATGTAATACGTTGCAAATATGTATGAACTTCCTGTGGTTTGGCTGCTACCTTGGCCAGGTCTCTCTTGAAAAAGAGATTCTGAATCTCAATGGGACGTCCTGGTTAAATAAAGGTTAAATAAAAATAAAAATAAAAAAAAATACAGTAGCATGTTGACAAGATGGAACCAGGAAGCCTCAGGCAAAAAACAAACAAACAACAGAACATATAATTTATAAGTGAGAAATATAATCCTTCTTGAATTAACAAAAAGTTTTTCACAATGTCAATGATACAACACAGCTTGAATAGCTGTGAAGATTCTGGTAGATTCTATATTGGTGGTCTCATTTTGGTCATACGAGGGACATGAAAGAATTTTTAAATATTGATTAAAATTTACATGTACGAAAAAGGGGTCTGGAAAAGAATAGTACAGTTTGTTGTTATTTTCAAATTGAACTTTATCATTACTATATTTAATTAGTGAAACCTTTAAACATTAGTTATGGGGAATTAAAACAGCTTATGATGTTTAAATAGAGTGGCTATCAAAGAATCAAAATATATCAACAGCTAGTGGTTTGTATATGTTTTCTCTTATCTTTGATTATTGTTTATTTTTATTTTTTTTGTTTTATTTACTGAGCTGAAAAGTATCCTTTTTTAAAACATTTTCTCTTTTACCAAGAAGGGTGACTAAGAAAGAAGCAGGAACTGTCTACAAAATTAGCTTTCAGAACACCAAACCAAATATGAAGCCCTCCTCTTTATTTCAAAGCTCACAAGTAAGGATTACAAAATTACAGTGCTTTAGTTGCAACAGTTCAAAGAGGAGAGATGACAGACCAGTTGAAGAATTTGGAGCAAGTCATGCAAAAAGGTGAGGGAGAAGGCCTCCAGTAGAGTAGCACCCTTTGTGGGGGGAAAAAAAATCAATTTCTCAGTAAGTCAGTGCAAAAATAGTAATGAATATATGCATACAAAGAAAATATATATGTATGTAACTATATACTTGGAATACTTGACTCTAGACTACAGACACAGAGAAATATACAGTTGCTCTTAAGAGCAAAGCCCAAATCCATCAGAGCGTCCAAGCCCAAACAGAGACTCTTAAACAAGTCCAAGTTGTAAAGAGGCCGCATCGAATATGACAGCTTGATATTTTCCTAATTCAGAAGCTTATTTTAAAAATAAATGTGAGCAGATGCCTTTTGGAGCCGTCAGTCAGGATGTGACCTCCGCAGAAAGAACAGTGTAGACAGAGACAGAGAGCACCATAAGGCCCCTTAGAGAACAGGAGCACACAGCAGGCTTTATCTCCTGCTAGGGAGTAAAGTCTGATTGTTCAGTCAGAGATCAATAAAAAGAAAAGAAAAAGCAAAGCAGTTTGCTATGGAAAGTTGCAGAAACAAGCAGGTTGAATGAAAACATCCATTTTACCTATTGGCTCAGACCTTTTTTACACCATCTATATTCTTTTTAAAAAATGTTGATATCTTAATAAAGATGCATAAGCTGAACATCTTTTGAATGTTTATTAACTAATATTGTAGCCATCCTACTCAAATTTACCATGGAGCACCAGTAGATAAAAATGACCACAACAAAGCACAGCTGCACCTACTTTTTCCTTTTCAAATAGAAAATCCAAAACATCCCCATTGAAAAACAACTTCATTACAGGTGGAAACAACTTGCGACAATTTCACTTTGCATAGAAAACCTTTTCCATTGATGGATTGTCTTTCAAATCCAGGTTGTTGTGGATTTCTTTAAACAATCCCTAGCAAAAACATGCTTGTATTCTCCTTTTTTTCCTACTCACAAACAACAGATGATATTTCTAAATGATTGGATTCATATTTAAAGATGGAATAGACAACAGCAAGGATGTATTGCAAAACAGATGATGGGTTTGGCATCTTGACAAAGATATTGTTAGCCCTGTGCTTCATTTTATGCCGTGCAATGGATAGCTAAACAGAAACATGGAGCACAAACAACATGAAGAGAATCAGGCGTTGCATGAAGAGGTTGATCTAGTTCAGCTCTGGACACTCTAAACCACTATTTTGTTATCTATTTTTAACTCAGTGGAAATTCTAGTCATTGATATGTTCTGAAACAATTTTTGACAGTTTATTCTAATCAGATCTCTGTTTTTATGGGTCTTGACAGAGGAATTTCAGATAATTGATCGCAAGTTTGTACCAATAAACGTAAATTATTAGAAAAAAAGCTTTTTATAGTTTGTGCTATAATTTACACAAGTGCTCACTGTGGCATAAAACAGCTGCTTAATTCAAAATATGTAAAAGCCTTAAAATAAAGAAGTAGAGCAGAAAAGATACTTTGGTTTGACTATATAATGGCATATATTCTCCTATTAGTTATATTGATTTTATTGCAAAATGATAAGCAAAAATGTCTCTTACAATTTTCAACAAAACAGCTCTTATACTGTGCACTTAGACATGTTCTGCTTGGCTGCATGTTGGGAAGAAAATTGCAAAGTACTGCATCTAAGCAGATGATGGTGTGGAGGAAAGTTTTCAAATATATGTCTGACTATATGCTGTTACAGAGTGGATAAGTAGTGAATTAATGTGTTTCCCTTTTTCTAAAGTAACTAAGATAATGCATTCATTTATCTTAAGAAATAACTCTTTGAATTTACAAGTACCCTCTGTATAATTTTGCAGAATGAATGATTAAAGAGACTGACTAATGGCTGAAAGATGGTCCTCCTTTTTAAAGTTTTCAAACAGGGAGCTCTGGAGATTTTTTATATTCCCTTTAACCTCCATTTTCCTCCTCCTCACTGTGTAAAGCGGAAAAATAAACCTCTTCAGATTTTGTCGTCACAACTCCAGCTGCTCTAACTGTTTTAATGGCTGCTCTGATTAGTAGGAATTGTGTTCTTTTCATTTTATGATGCAAACACACAATATGCCTTCCTTGAATGTCATATTCTGTCAATGGTAATTTCTCTTTCCCCTTTTGACAAGCTAAGAAGAATAGGTGTGCGTGTCATATTTATTCACCTAGGAAACATAAGATTCTGGACTTTAAAAAGAAAGCCTCTGATTAAATAAAAAAAAATAAATGAAAATTTTACGTCAAAGAAGTTTAATTTACATGTATTTTAATCTGCTAGGGAAACCAGCAGCAGTTGTTCATGATAAAACCAATAATGGTTGACTGTTTGCTACTGCTTTATAAGAATTGGTTACATTTAATTGTATTAAAGCTATTGGAAAACATACTTTTTTTCCCATTATTATTTTTTGCCAAGTAAACATATTGCAAACTGCCAACTAAGTTGCAAAGAAATGTTTCACATTGTTTAATCTAAAACATCAGCAGATTTTAAAACTAAATGTGTGAAATGAAACTGCTGTGTTTCCTTATGTGATACTTTAGCAAAATGCAACACAAAAAAAAAAAACTTCAGTTATATTCCTTAAGTGACGTTTGTTTCAGTTATTAGTGCTTTTTGTTTTTGCATGAAATTGTTTTCATTTCATTTTTTGCCAAACAGGTGAATTAAGGCATTCATAGAGGCACTGACGCAGCACGCAGCAGCAGACAGCCCAAAACATATCCACCTAAAGGTTATGCCGCTCTGCTGTACCCATGCTGTCTCAATACACTAACCCAAATAACGCAGTTGTGATTTTTTTTTAGCACAAACCTCAGCATTGCTACCATAGAACTTGGCTGAGTAATAGCTTGGAACGTGGGGCATTGCAAATAAGGTTGGATGCAAATGGACATGGACAGTACACTTGAGGTACAGAGCAACACAGCTGGCTAACGGATGAAGTGGAGGGAAAAAAAACAACAGAGACCGAAGCAGGCAGTGAAAATCCTCTCTTGTGTTACATTAAACATCACCAGTAGCCCTGTTTTACAATATTCACCAATTATTTCAGCGTTCTTTCTACTCCTCCACCAGCAGCCATGCATAAAAAGAGCTCTTACGGCTGTCTGGTAGTATGCATATTGCTAAAAATATACGCAGATGCACCATTGGCAAAACCAACACACTGAAGAAAACACACAAGTTATGAAGTTATGCTTCAGCAAACAGAATCCCATAAGCTGCACTTAAAGTAAAACCTTTTTTTTTTTTTTTTTTCTGGCTCTCGTACAGATCAGCGCCAAATCTTACAGCTTAACTGTATGCACCATAAACACAGAGCTGAACAGTACTTACACATAAATCAAAATGGTTCTTCAGCAAAGAGCTGGAAATGTATTTTTCTTGATCATTACCAATATATACACATATTAGATCAAGGTTGCATTCAGCAGTAATTATTGCACAGTAAGCCGTTAATGGCTTGTCATGGTCATCTCCTTAAAACCCCTGTATAAAAATAGAACAAGATTAACACTCCAAACAGGTCCTTATCTTTGATAATTATTTATATATAGACAGGCACTGCAGTGGCCAACCCTGCCTGAGTCTGCAAGCTGTGTGCCTCAGTCCCTCTTTGTGTCAAAGCACAATCGATTTTCTTTGTCCCTTCTTCTCCTCCTGACTTTACCATCTCTGATCAACATCAGTAAGAGCTCAAAATGCTCTAAGATGAAGTCAAGGAGATTTCTTAGAAAAATATACCTGCTCTTTCTTTCAACCTAACCGGTTTATTCAGCAGCGTGAGTCTTAGCAGAGAGCACTGGGTAAAACGGCTCGTTCAGACGACTGTTTCCACGCCAATGAGCTTCGGCGTGAGGATCCGTGGCGTTATTCCGTTGTTGAGGTCCTCCTCAAACTCCAGCAGCTGTCCCATGAAGTTCAGGTTTGGCGAGATGATGGGCCTCTTGCTTTTGACAAACTTGTAGGCGTCAGTCATGGCCATCCAGCTGTGCTTCATCAGGTAGGCGATCACAATGGTGGCAGATCGGGACACGCCAGCCTGGCAGTGGATCAGGAGGCCCATACCTGCTTGGTGTGCTTCCTCTGTGGAAAGGAAGATGGAGGAGATCAAAACCCAGAGCAACATTTGGTTTAGTCTCTAAGAGGTACAGTCCTGCATGATAACTTATTACGACTTCCTTTATAGCCAAGCATGCGATTAGAGTCTTTTATCAAATGTCAACTCTTTTCTCCATTAATAAAAAATATAAATGTAGAGAACTGTTTAACAGTAATGTTCTCGAACCACATTATAAAGTTCTGCATTAAATGAGATCAATGAAAATACAAAACAACTTCCTCATTTTTTAACTTTAAAATTATTAATCCCATGCTTGATACCCAATAACCAAGAAAAAACAGGAATTATACCTTCCGCATTTGAGGAACAAGAACATTTGCCCTTTTCTGTGATGTCTCAACAGTGGTAATGTCATCCCTTCACTAAATAAAACTTGTGGACCAGCTTGCAACTCTGTTAACTTAATAATTGTTTGCCTTAAACTTTCTATTGATAAACCAAAATTTGAATCACTGGACTCAATTATTGTTGTAAACAGGCAGACTCCTCCATGATAGTTTGATTCTCTAATTTTCAGATTCTTGATTTTGAGAGTTGATCCTCATAAAAAAAAAAGAAAGTCTTTATTTCTTTATAGGCTAACTGATAAAGTTGAGTTGTCATTTTTTTTTTTATAACAGGAAGTCAGAGGAATAAAAGTACTTCTGCTGACACTACTTGGTTATTTGTTTTAGGTTGTAAAAGGAGAAGTACCAGATTATCAGTGACATTTTAAACTTCCCAGCAGTTCACCACCTTTCAGAAGAAGTGGAGGAATTTCTCCCAACCACAAATAAAAATCTAAATAAGAACAATTCCTAACTGGCCCCATTTTCTTAACAATTTAGTTTCTAAATAATTTGTTATATAGAATCAATTTATTGTTATGATCAGCTTTGCATGTTTCAACACAGCTAAGCATTGCCAGAGGGACCAGAGTGCGTCCTGCTACCCCTACCTAAACTATTGCTGCACACTGATGGTCAGCTGGCTGAAAGAATGCTACCACCATTTTTGCCTCATTTACAAGAGGAAAAAAATATGTAAACTCTTCAGAGCAACTTTAACTAAAAAAAAAACTGTGGAAATTTAAGTTCTACCCATCACTTTTATTTCTGTATTAAACAAGTGAATTTAAATGATATAATTACATGTAAAACATTATATATTCAAATTGAGGTGGGTATTTTTACTAAATGTTGTTACTGTATAAAAGCAGCAACATTTAAAGACACCATCAGCACCATGTTTTTCTTGAAGCAACATGGAGTTTTAAGCAGATAATCTTTTGCGTCAACACTGTCTTATTGATCACCTGCAAACACATGGAGAACAGTGCAGCTGGGATGCAATAACTAACCTCTCTGTGGCTCTGATGTAAATCATGTATCCAGAGTGGTTTATTATTTAGCATTCTGGTTATGTAAAGATGTTAAATAACAAAACATCAAAATCAGTTTGGGTTTTTTTTTTTTTTTTTTTTGATGGATTCAGAAACTTTTTACAGAAATGACTTTGTTTTACTATTTTAAGTCAATTGAAACCAAGATAAAGTGCAAAGTAAGATGACAAACATGTCACATAGAGGACCAGTGGCTTCTGACCTTTTCTGATTGACACGTCCAACGACAGCATTGTTCAATCGTTGGAATGACCTTTTAGATATGTGAGAGCTATTATCTGTTCCACCGCCGCAGAGCTGTCACATGTTTTAATTTGAAACGTCGGCACGCATACTTAGAAAAGCGCACAAAAAAATCTGTCTACAGAAATGGGTCTGATGAGGATGTGTTTGTTTATTTTCAGAAAAAGTTAAAGTTAAAGCTCTCTGTTACAACAGCCACAGCAGTGTGTAGGAGTGCGTGGCTAACAGCACGATCTAGTAATGATTCATTACTTTTTCCATCAAACAACCTTCTTTCTAACTTTAACTTCTTTCCATTGTAACAAAAAAAAGAGAGAGATAAAAACATTTTATTATCTGTTTTGCACCCTCTTGGGTTTTATTTTGACTTAACATGTGAATGTAAACTCTATCTGGGGTGCAAGTGCTGACAGTTTTAAGAACTTCCTACCAATGAATTCAAACGCCTCCTCAAAGTACTGGCGCAGGTTCTGCTTGTTGCTGTCAGTGGCGGGCAGGCGCTTGTAGTTGAACAGGCCGGTGTCATAGTGGTAAAGAGGCAGGTGTGTGGTCACGTTGAGGATATAGCCGATGTTCATGCGTTGCAGCAGGTGGAGGTCCTGAGCGTCCTGCTCGTTCCCCAGATAGAGGAAGGGCAGGATTGGGGTCAGCTCCGCGTTCTCGATGTCCGGGGTGGAGGGCAGAGAGTGAGGTAGAGGCCCCGTCAGGCCGGCGGATGCGCCCACGTCCAAGCCCTCGCGGAGGTGCAGCGAGTGCTCGCACAGGTTTTCATGGCTCTGCCTGAAGCAGCTAAGGCCTCCTGCAAACACAGAAACCAATGTGATCAAAAATGTATGCAAACAATAACAAAATCGTGAAACCTGGGCTGCAACTAATGCTTATTTTGCTAATTGATTAATCTGTAGATTACTTTTTTGATTAATCGATTAATAATCGGATAGCAAAAGGTTGCTTAAAGAAGACTTTTTACTATATTAAACCAAGTGAAAATAAAACTTTTCCACTTAAGGAGTTCTGGATTGAACATATTAACAGATGAAACTTTTTTTTATCTTTAATGCAAAATGTTTACATATTTTTTTTTATTTTGGCATAGGTACTGCTCTAAGTGGGTTGCTCTGTCAGCTAATGGCATGTTTTACAGTCTCCATACTCCAGTTAACAATTAAATTTACTAAATTAGTTGACAAATATTTCAATAATGGAGTAATCACGATTAATCTGATTAATTGTTTCAGCCCTACGTTAAACATTTATATATTTCAGATTCAAACAAAGGAAGGAAGATTTTTCAGATAGAAACACCCTTAAAAATACATCCCCACTATTAAAGTTAATTGTTTAAAGTTTAACACCCTGCGTTTATATTCTAAACTCACAATTAGAAAACCCCCATATCAGTTTTAAGTTGTTTATACACCCCGCTATGCTGTGTGCATATAACACAAATAAAACGATAATCTTTGCTCCCCAAAACGTTAATATCGTGTCTGATCTTGCTCTTGTGAACCCAGTATTATCAGATTATTTTAGCAGCTAAATGTTTCACATCCACCTAATTACACCTTTTCCGCCTTTTATTTGTTTACATTTAAGCTCATAGTTTCAGCATAGAGAACAGAGCAAGCACAGCATGGGTTAAAGGTATATTCCCACAGGAAGAATCTATGCTATAAATACATAGTCTGACATAGACACAGCTCATGTTACAATTGAGTAGGACGCCTTAACTTTGCATGCAAACAGTATCTAATTGAAACCAGCTGGTTTAAACAAGCTCAAAGGCATAAATATATACTTATATTTGGTTCAAATTTGAATACTCATTTGGATTTTAATTTAAAAAGATCTTTACAGTCAGCTTGGTAAAACAGGCACTCTTGGGGTTAAGCACGCTTCTTGTTGGACATGTGAACTTCTCCAAATAACTGGTTTGCACCTGTTTGCAACAGCAATGCCACAGGCCAAAGTTTCCCCCTCGGCACAGCAGGGATGGAGTCCGAGTATCAGTTTGTGTGTTGTTCACAGTGCAAAGGCTGACATCATGCCATGTGAGGTCATCCCACAGCCTTTACAACTTCCCCTTGGGTGGGAAGCAGGTGGGAATCTCCACAGTTTTATTTTCATGAAACAAAGACTGTTAACCATTAACAAAGAGAAAAGCCTAAACACATGGCCTAAACTCAGGCAAGCTCATATATAACACGGGATAATTACACTTTTGGTAAAAAAGAAATGAAAAAAAAAAGGTAATTAAAGAAGCTGTGGCCAAACGAAAAAGGAATTATGGTATAGGATTTTTTTTCATTTTTCAGATACAAAGCATCCAGAAAGCCAAGAGTTATAGTTAAAGTAAACTTATGATACGACAGGTGAAAAAAAGGTTAAAAGAATTGAATAAAAATCTGTTTCCTTTTAAAAATGTCTCGCTACTAGTATGATGTTAACATGGATGTATTAGGCTTAACCCTTTACACTTAAATAAAAGCACTTAAACATGGCAGCCATTTTGCAATTTGTTTTTTTTTTCCTTGCATTTAGTTCTTTTTAGTTATCAAGAGTTCAAATATTTAACTTAGAGATTGCAATTGTCTGCATTTATGGAAATATTTCAAAAGTCATTTGCAGGCTTTTTGTTTAAGCTCCAATTTTGGTGATAGTTTTTTTAGGACAATGTGAGCATTAGGGCTGCAACTAACGATTATTTTGCAAATCGATTAAGCCGTCAATTATTTTTTTGATTAATTATGAGATATCGAAAGGTAATAAGACTTTTTTTTTTTTATTAAACCAGGTGAAATTAAAAATTTTCCACTTGAGGAGTTCTGGATAGAGCATATTGACAGATGAAAATTGTTGGTTTTATCTTAAAAAAAAACAAAAACATTTTTTTATATTTTTTTACAATCTTAGTATAATTACTGCTGTAAGTGGGTCACTCAGTCAGCTAAAGGCATGTTTTACAGTGTCTCTATACTCCATTTAACAAATTATTGATTACTAAATTAGTTGATGATTATCTTGAATAAATCGATTAATCAAGATTTATCCGGTTAATGGTTTCAGCTCTGATGTGCATCATTTAAGGATTAGCACTACTTTATATTGCCATTTTGGTTTGATTTTGTTTACCGTTTAAATTTTTTATACTGTATTTTTTTCCTTAAAAGTTTAAAAACAATCCACTGGACATGGTTTCCAAGGTTTGAAGACGTTTTGCTTCCCCTACAGGAAACTTTCTCAATTCAAATGTTCGACATTTGAATTGAAGCGAAATGACCATGACCTGGATGACAGAGAATCTTCATCAGCATATTATATTTTCTATTTTATTTTTTGCTATTATAATATCAGCCTCATTTTGTTACTAATGCGAAATGCTGCACTCAACAATCTATTTCAGTTTGGACTGAAAACTCCCTTCATCTGACCCTCAGAGTGTTATGTGTTAGTAAATTTAACCCAATTCCATATAGGGAGTCCTTTTATTGCAGGGAGAAAATCTATGCTAAAGCGCAAGGAAGTTCATTTTGATATCTTTACTTTGCCATTTTTTCTGGTCTCTGTAAAAATGTAATGACTGAATGTAAAATTGGAATCCAACTCATGCATTTTGTTGTTTTTTTTTTGTTTTTTTCAAATGTCCTGTAATCTCGAAAGTAAAACAGTAGTTTCTGGTACTTTCCTTAGAGCTTATGGTGTTCATCTCAATATAGGTTTCTTTTTCATTTAGTGATCTAAATTAGCATTAAACATAAATTTACTTTTAGTTATAATAGTGTACATTGATTTTCAAATATTCTCAGTGAGAAAGATAAACCGCTGGATACAGCATAGACCTTTGAGAAAAAAATAGCATAGCACAGGAAATCTAGAGAGATAACTTCCACGATTTCTGGTAATTCTGGTGATTTCTGGTAATTCTGGTGATTTCTGGTAATTATGATGATTTCTGGTAATTGTGGTAATTTCTGGTAATCATAAACATATTCAAAGAATAGAATAAAAAATAAGGGAATTAGTAAGTCACTGTTTACTGAGTTTCTCAATAGTGTTATTACAAAAAAAATACTAATCTCAAAATCTGTATTTGAAATGGGCAGTATGGGTCTATGGGCAGGAAGCTGCAGCAAACACAGAAACCAATGCGATCAAAAATGTATGCAAACAATAACAAAATCGTGAAACCAGGGCTGCAACTAACGCTTATTTTGCAAATAGATTAATCTGTAGATTACTTTTTTGATGAATCGATTAATAATCGGATAGCAAAAGGTTGCTTAAAGAAGACTTTTTACTATATTAAACCAAGTGAAAATAAAACTTTTCCACTTCAGGAATTCTGGATTGAACATATTAACATATTTTTTTTTTTTTTTTGGCATAATTACTGCTCTAATTGGGTTGCTCTGTCAGCTAATGGCGTGTTTTACAGTCTCCATACTCCAGTTAACAATTTAATTTATTTAATTTTTTTGCGGATTTTTTCATAATGGAGTAATCGCGATTAATCTGATTAACTGTTTCAGCCCTACGTTAAACATTTATATATTTCAGATTCAAACAAAGGAGGGAAGATTTTTCAGATAGAAACACCCCTAAAAATATATCCCACTAATAAAGTTAATTGTTTAAAGTTTAACACCCTGCGTTTATATTGTAAACTCACTATTACACTATTAGAGAACCCCCATATCAGTTTTAAGCTGTTTATACACCCCGCTATGCTGTGTGCATATAACACAAATAAAACGACAATCTTTGCTTCCCAAAACGTTAATATCGTGTCTGATCTTGCTCTTGTGAACCCAGTATTATCAGATTATCTTAGCAGCTAAATGTTTCACATCCACCTGTAATGGAGGACATTACAAGTACCAACAATAAAAGTTATTTAAATTTTGACCTGGTAAATGTTTCTGTCTTTTATTAGTTTCTTGCTGTTTGTGTTGTGCAAGAATTCTTAGAAAATACGACTAAATAAATACACTAGTAAGACTGAAGCTGCTATCTGATGTGAAGCTCCCAACTTTCTTCTTAAATAAAGGATTATTTCAATTTTTGAACAGCGGTGACCTTTTTAAAGGGGTCAAATCTGAACTTTTGTTCTTAGCACAGAGATTAACAGAATTTGAGATTAACTGGATCTGAAGCAGAGCACTTTTCAATGCTTTCAGCACTATGCCGACCTCAGATTGAGAAAAACAGATTTTGGATACATGTTAAGTTACATTTTCAAAGAAAGAGGATTGTCTTGGGGAGTCCGTGTGTTTTCTTGTATGTGTGGGAGGGCAACATGTGGTGCTTCTGCAGGGTGAAATTCAGTTAAGAGTGTCATTAATAGTGGCACTGATCATTTGGTTAAAAAAAAAAGGTAAAAGTCAGATTTTCCTTTGAAATAAAACATGAATTCATGTTAAAGTGGAAACATGCCAACGGCCGACCACCTCAGTGTTGATGTAAAAAATTCTGGCCTACATTTCTGTTGATGGTCTCCAGCCTTATTATAGCTCGACAGCTGAGGAGCAAACCTTGCTCTTTGGTGTCCAACTGTCCAACATTGTCAACCTCAAACTGATACCAAACCAAAGTTTGTTTGTCTCAGTTTCTTCTTAGCAG